TGCCGATTTCATACCTAACTTTCTCATAACCAAAATTACTTAGTTATAGATTAACTTTGCCCCATAGCAGCAAAGCAGACATAAGCAGCAAACAAACAACATACCTTTGCCACTGGTTATTTTTGCTGTACCTATGTCTATTGCTAATGTAGAATCATTTGTGAAAATCTACCCTAATGCAAAGTTGTGATGAACGTTCCAGCTACTGCACCGCTTTTCAAATACTGTGTTCTCAAAGCAGGTATGTGTTGTCTTTGTAGCAGGTCAGTCTTTAAAAGTGCACTAGCAACTTTAAATAGAACCACCGTAAAAGCAAGGGAAGTTGAAGTTCTTGAGCAAGTATTTTTCTTTGTTGGCACCTAATCCTATACCTTGCGCTAGCTCAGCTCTGTCCCCATCCTGAGCCAGGGCCAGAGATGAGCATGATCCATTCAGCAGCTGCTGAGAGGGGTTCTGGCCACTCCATGTGCAGCAGTGCAGGGAATCATCACTGTTACGGAATCATCACTGTTACAGAATCATAGAACAGTTTGGGTTGGAAGGGCCCTTTAAAGGTCATCTAGTCCATCCCCCTTCAGTAAGCAGGGACATCTTCAACTAGATCAGGTTGCTCAGAGCCTTGGGCTGGCCTGAGAAGTGGCCCTGCCACTTCTGTTTGGAGTTCGGAATAGAAAGTCGGTTCCCAAGCTCCAAAGCAGACACTGTCATAAGCTGTGTTTGAGGTCCTCCACCACCACAGCAAAGTGCAAAAAAGGAGGTAACCACTGAACAAACAGAGGCTTCGCACATTCACTTGAGGCCTCCTAGATATGAAGAAAGCTTAAGACAAACCACAGCTTTCAGCTAACAGGAAAAATTTGTGTGGACCAAACACAAACTGTATTTGGAGCGCTATTGTAAAAGTGCACCATCACAACTTCTCCCCAGCAGTGCAACAGGCTCAGACTGAACAAGGAGTGGTTAAGGGAATTAGAAGTCAGAACTTCCTATTTAAAAAGATACCACAATCTCCTGTAGAAAACCACCCATTTAAGTAGCTAAGCATTTCCAGTACATCTAACACCTCAGTATGCCAGTGACAGGGGCTAGGGTACTAGTTAAAGCATTATATTCTACCAGAAATAAATGCTGAACTGAAAGAATTCTGAAGTTTTTGGTAGTACTGACAATGCTCATAGAGAGAAACATAAACAAGGTCATCATTCTGCAGGAGAAAGAGCCGCAAAACTATAAGTAAGCATGGTCTGTACTGGGCTCAGAGAGAGAAGAGATACAAAATCCCACAAAGGCAGGAAATTGTCACCTCTGACGTTTTTCTTTCCCTGTTCACATCACACTGTATTACAGTGGGAATTTCACCACTTCTCCATGTAATAGAATGAAACAGCTTTTAGTTGCGCCTTTTTTTACTAACAGTACTAATAATTCTCAGTCTTTCTGACAATAAAAGAAAGTTAAAGCAAAAGAAATGCTGCTCCCACATGAACTGAGAATCCTGAACCAGGAATGTTTTTCACGTGCTACTGCAGGCCTCTCAAAACCAACAGCCAAGGCAGACATTCCTCCAGCTCCTCCTTATGGCAAACGATAGGCATAGCACTCTAACAAGGTACTGGGATGAGAACGTTGATGTCATCGACTCATCATATGTCAAATGCCATAATGAAGACCTAAGCACATGACCAAACCAGGGTTCCGTGAAAGACCACACCTGATTTGATCAAATGCTACGGTCAGCGGAGGGGCAGACACAAATCCTTCTCCAGGTCTGTTTCAAGAGAAACTTCAAGCCGAGCACCAGTTGAGGCCAATGGCTCTGCTTTAAACTTACTGGCCAATTGACTTTCCTAAGGAAAACCGGAGAATGAAACCTATAGAATAGGGGAGGGGGGCTAACGGTGAGAGGTGATTAGGCTGTCAGGCCCCGCAAGAGAGAAGAGAGATTGTTAAGGCAGCCAAGGATGTAAGGTTTGAAAGTGGCTGAAGATGCAATGGGTGACTTCCATTTATATATTCATCACCTCAAGAATTAATGTAGCTGCCTGGGTTACCTTTTCTCTTAAGAACAAACAGAAAAGAAAGAAATCCAAACAATGATGAACAGAGAGAAAGCACCCAGGAAAACAAAACAAAACACACACAGATATACTACAGGTATCAAACATTTCATTTATTTTCTGAAGAAACTACAGCAATACACATCATTACAGAATTATGAAGTACTGTTAAACAAAAGGAATGAAATGGCCAGGGTTCAAGCACTAATGACCTCACACCTTTTCTCTCATACCACCATCACTCAGAAAAATTACATTATCTGAAAAGAAATAAAGAAAATTTAATTTTCAGGGTTGTTTTGCCCTATTGCAAGCCTGCACACCCACAAAGACAATCTGTTTGTGTTAAAATAAGATGCAAAGACATGTATTTTGGAACAGAATAGTTCATAAAATAAAACAGTGTCTGATACAGGGTTCTTGCTCAATCTCCCCAGAAAGCTGACAATTCAAGGCAACCATATATATGCTATACAACAAGTGTGCTAAACATGATGAAAAGCTGCTGAACAGTCAAAGATACCAGACACATTTTAAAATAATGGTTTAATTTTTTGGCTACGGTCTCTATCAGTTACAGCTTATTTCCTTTTTATTTTGTCATTTTCAGTATGTGGTACCTTGTTATCAGCCTATGGGACTATAGGAAGCTTGTATTTTATCAAGCCTCAGTAATTTCTAAAGCAAATCTTGAGACTGGGAATATTGAACACAAAGAAGAAACCATTAGGATAAATGCTAATTAAAAAAAAAACAGACTTGCTTCGCCCCTCCAGCTATTTATAAACAGCAACCTACAGCACTGCTAGCTGAACTGCTCATGTGAAAGTTTGATTACTATTATTTTAAAGAAGCTGCACAGCAGAAACATCCAGAATTGTCTTTTTTTTTTTCCTTCTCCTCTGGCCCTTTTTTTTTAGATATAGTTGTGTAACGGAAATGTTCGCTCTACTACCCAATTATTTTAGCCCTCACTCAAAAGCTACAAGATAGTGGCTCTACCCACAGTAAAGATTTAGGATGCTCACCCTATTTAAAAGCTCACGGAAAAAGCTGAGTTTCACAGTTCTTTATTGTTTCTACACAAGGGACAAGTCTACTCTGTATCCATTCTGTGCTCTTCTTACCACTACTGGCTACCAGACTGAGGTCTTTCTAAATTCTCCATCAGGTTATCCCCACATAAAACATCTTTCACAGATGGAGGTCCTTAAAGTTGGTGAAGCCTCCTGTCTTAAACAGGAAGAAAAAATGCCCTGCCAAACCCAGACAAAGCTACTAAACAAGCTCTGCTTAGAAGAGGAATCTGCCTGACCTGCAGTACTACATACCAGCGTTCTTAAAACACACAGTATCTACCTGCTGCACCAACTAGTTTCATGTGAACAAACTATGCAACATTTTGCAACTACATGCTCTCACTTTCTGTGCCTTCACAAGCAGTGGTACAGCCTGTTCATTCTCCCAAAATCCCCAAGTGTGGATTCTGAGGATGAAGGCAATCCAAGCTCTATTTCAAGGGTCCTCCACCCCCTCTCCATTTTAAAAGGGCAAAGTAGGCATTGGTATGTTGTTCCTTACCTGCTATAATCGTTGTGGCCTGCCGCCTCACATTGTTTTTATCTGTATATTCACCATAGTCTATCTTCCCTTCAACATAGAGTCGAGCACTGAAAAAATGAAGAATTTGGTTCTGGTCAGAGAACTGCACTGCTGGTTCTCCTCTGTATCTGATTCTGAATACACAGGATTTTGCCTCACTTGTTTGTAGCAGGTCTGCTAACATATTTTAAGGCATTTCTATTTTAGTATAGCTCCTGGTCACCGTAATTCTTACATAACTCAATTATTAAGGCATTAAATCCTCAACCACATTTGTTATTCACTTACCCCTTCTTCACATACTGATACGTAACATCCCTGAGGCCCGGTCTGAAGACAGAGATCCTGTGCCATGTCGTTTTCTGACTGATATCACCTAAGTTGCATAAAAATAACAAAGTTGGATGCCGAAAATCTTTTTTGATGCAAGCCTCAGAAATTAGTTTCAACATGTTGGTGTTCTCTAATTATGAAAAGCAATGTGAAAATGAAAGTGTACTAGCACTCGATCTCCCACTCCATACTAGAATGTTATGTTCCACTCATCTGTGTCCAAATGAAAGTATCATGCAGAAGCACAGTTCAAACCAAGACATCAATTTTCCTGTAAGCCAGCACTCATACTAGAAGAAACTTTTTCCCGTCACGCACTCCGCATTGAACAAAAGTTAGAGAGACATCTGTAGCTGCAGACTGATAGAAGAATCAAAGAAAATGTATTGTTATCTTTTTTCCCCCTCTTGGAATACAACTTATGTGGAACCTGCTACACCTCTGGCAACCCCAACAGTGAAAAACTGTCAATTCAAGACTCTTTCCTCTCCTCCAGAGGAAGGCTGACATGCAGATCTTTATTCAGTACATGCTGCTGGGGATCAGTAAGAGACACACAAATACACCAGCATCTCTACTGACCTCGAAGGAATTTCCCCGCACCCAAGAGATTTACACGGCTGCCTGAAGACAAAGCATGGTGCTACTGAATATGCAAACATGACCTCAGAACACAGTAGAAGCATGTTGCTCATTGCAGACTCACCTCCCTGGGTTACCTCACTTTCCCCTGTTCGCCACATCTCATTGGTTGCAAGAGAAAATATGGTAACAGGATTTTTTCCATCCACTTGCCTCATGATAGGGTCCTGTCCCACTCGACCAAGTAACTGAACACGATTCATGGCTGAAATGTGAGAGAGTAAATACATATACAGGTGACTAATGATTCTGCTAATCATAGCAAGTCATAAGTTGGCAGTTTTTGTCAAGGGCCAGAACAATAACTTTCTGCACCTCTCAACCATCTTTCAAGCTCTTGTCACTTTTGGCTTATTCAGGCCCTGCAGATGGTTGACCGTGCCTGTACCATTGTTACCACTGCTGAAGAAGCTCACTTAGAAAGCTAAAGGTTCTTTACTCTTTCTGCTCCTTTGTCATCTTTTCAACACACACATCCATGTGTCACTTGACACTATTTTACATTTACTTACCTTGACTTTTATTTTTTTAGTTATGACAAAACTGTAGCTTTGCATTGTTTTGTCCGTAAAACACCACCTTTAGAACAACAAAGTTTCATTATTACACCCCATCCTCTGAATTAGAGGTGACTAGCTTTTACACAGATACCAGGACTAGGTGGACACAATTTATTCCTTCTCCTTGTTGAAGGACAACTGAAAGAGGTCAGGGAAGCATCACTCTTGCACAATGAGCATGTGAACTGAATGGTAAAGTCTGAAGCATATACCTGGAGCAAATCATGCTGGGGCAGCAGCACCAAAAAGAACTCCCAGGCACATGGGAGTCTGAGAAACAAGCACACAAGACACCTTAAAGCAGGTATTAGAAAACATGACATCAGTGTACCCGATTCACTGCCATTGATAAAGCATGACTACCTGCCTTTTACTCCATGTCAGGGCTTTTTTCTTTTCCCCCTTAAGGGCTGCTTGACTCAACAATGACCAGATAGGAAGCTACTTAAGAGTCTGTCTGTTTGAAACAATACATTCTTAGTTACATTAGCATTCAGGAGCTACAATTCCTATCTGTTTCTCTCCTGGCATATTTCAGCCATTCTAAAACCAAGATAAAAGCCACAGAGAGTAGTAGCTAAGTTTCACCTCAGGAGCTACTTACATCTTTCGAGTACCAATGAGCCAACTGTATCAGACTCATGTCTTACAAATTGGCGAAGCACCTGAAGGAACAGACAGATGTTAGTTTCCGAGACAAAGTATAAACAGTGTTCACATGCTTTTACACCTTGTTCTCCAAACACTTAGAGAGGTTTTGCAAGTACATTCTTTTCTGGTGACTTATGGGGCGACTGAGGGAAGAAATCTGTTCAGCTAAATGAAGCCAATAGGATTATTCAAGAATATTTGGTCAAACTGGGGTTAAAAAGCTGCCTAGGAAAAAGCATGGCCCAAAGGTAGATCTCCAGTAATTATTTTTGGCACATGCAGTAACTATTGTTTTTCCTTACTACATAATGGGGGAGGGTGTGAAGCAGAGGGGTTGTTTAGTTAGTTGGGCTTTGGTTTTTAGCAAAACACAGTTTTGATGATAGTTTCATCAACTTTCTGCTTCACTTCAGAGATCAACAAGATGTGCCCTAAGCGTACATCTATCACTATAAGCAGTATGATGCACTGATAACCTCCCATTCCCAAGCAAACAGCAAATCAAGGCCAAAAAAACCCGAGTGCTACAGCTAAACACAAGCAAAAAAAAGAAAAGGAACTGATTTGATGCCAGCAAACACCATGTCATAGAAAAAGGGAAAAAAGCAAAGCCCAGCAGCATCTCTGCAAGAGGCCCATGCACAGGAACTGGAAGAAAAGCTCATCTCCTATAACAAGTGGCTACGAAACTTAGAGGAAGTCAAGGCTGACAGCCCTGCATTGAACAGGGAGGCTAAACCAGAGGAAATGCAACTTGCAAAAGTTCTTTGGTATCTCTGTATGGTTCATTGATATACATACAAATCATCTGAGACTCATTCCACATGTAAACTGGATCTTTTAATATATTGTTTTTTCAGTAGCTGAGTAACTAAGGTCCAACATTTGTATTCTTGTAGAGTATGAGCACAAACCGAACTTCCCTCTTTTCTTCATGGCTAGTACCACGTATTTTTTGAGAAATGGCAGAAATTACACCTGTGACCTGACAGACCCGTGGGAGAACTCACACTTTCTTCCCCTGAGGACGGATTCAGCACGTTACAACGCTGCAACTGGGGACGGCAGTGAAAACCAGCTTCCGTGACGAGAAAACGATTACCAGCCCGGCGGCGGGTTGAGAAAGGGCAGAAGCCTC